TGCTTAAAACACGTTTATGAATTAAACTGGGTGGAATTGAGAGTACCTTAGAAATGAGCAAGAGTGTTTAGGTACAGACAATGAAGCTCGATATAAAGCTAAGGTTAGAGACAGGTTACAGGGAGCCTATCACTTAGCCATTGGTACCTCTTTGTTACAATCTAGATGAGGATAAGAACAGAAGAATGTCAGAATGACAGCTGTGACCCCAAGACTTCTAGATAAGAGGGGAAAAAAATCTCACAGCTAGAAATCATCACTTTCTCATGATGAAGGATCCTCAGGACTCTACCTGGGTGTAAAATATGGGGGCCAGTAGGAAAGGTTGGATTAAGGAATTCAACAAAAATCACTTGTAGGGAAATTCTCCCTGCCTTCTCCCGGCAGTCAGGGAACTGCATCTAAGAAGTCAAAACTCTGGTCCTAACTCTCCTAGGGGAAAAGAAGGGAGTCAAAGGCAAGAAAGATGGTACCTCATAAGGAGAATTCTCTACTAAGACCCAGATGGCTTAGACTAGGTTGTTTCACTATCACCTGCCTGGAATATGGAATAACAGTTGTGCAGCTATCCATTCATGTTGGGGGAGAATAGGGAACAAGGAGAAAGAGATAAAAGGATAGTTTTTATGCAGTTATTAAAGAGACAACAGACCCAAAATCACTTGTGCTAAAACCACATCAGGAACCAAGACTTAATACATAATTTAGTTGCAGTTTCAACCTCTCTTAGGAGTGGTCAATCTGGAATTACATGGTCAGCGCTAGTGAGGTAATAGACCTCACTGCATGATAGACCTCTGCTGTCCCCTAAAGGGAAGTGACCTTGCCACAAACAATCCACTCTCTGCTTGGTGACTTCCTTGTCCCACCTTCTTCTAGCTACAAAGTCTTTCATTTTGTACAGCTCTTTGGAGCTCCTTTCTATTTGTTAGATGATGCCCGATTCATGGTTCATTGAATAAATCCAATAAAATCTTTAAAATCTACTTTAAAATTTGAATTTGGTTTTTAACACTGCTATGGAACACCTTGTGACATGAAAGTTCTTTTACAGGTCACATTGTAGCAATATATCTTAAAATTGTAATCTTTCTGTTTTTCTTTTATCCACCTCCTTGAAAGTGAGTTGTACCCTGGTGAGTCAGAGGCATCCGCATTACTTTGACAAGAAGTGAAATTGTTACAACGGTAATAAAAATAGCAAGAAGAAACTTTTCAGACTTTCTGACTGATTTTTGAGGAATCAAAATGGAATGTCTGAAGGAAGCAGAACATTGAATGGGTGCCATGACAGTAGAATTAAGAGTACACAGGGAGGAGATGACTCCATCCTTTCTCCTTTTCAAGGGGTCGAACCACAATGGGATGTGACCCTTTTGGGGAGACAATTTTTCCATAGTTCTCTCACTTTTCGGCAAAAGTTTTTGACAACTTTCAATCTGGGCTATATTTCCAAAGATGTCTGTAGAACAAACAACCTTGAAAGACAGACATATTGTCTTTCTCTGTGATAGAGGACAGATTTGTTTTCTGGCCAGTGCAATAGATATAATGCTTCCATCTGGGGCAAAGATTGGGCATGTTTGCTAGTAGCCCCCTATAAAAGTGGGGATATCCTAAGTTTGGGGTTCCTCAGCACAAACACACTCATGTGCAGCAGGTGCTTGGATTCACCTCCATGTGGCTCCCATGATACTTCGGGTATAAGGAGAACCAATGTGGATGTACAACTCAAGCTGCCTGCAGCACCATGAGTAATAAAATGTGCTGCCTCAGACCCAGGAGTCTCATGTGTCTATTAGAATCTGTGAAACTGTAGTAGGATAGTGTGCGGCTTACAAGTCACACTTCTAAGTGTGACTTAGAAGTCACGCTCTTAACAGTTCTTTTTTTAAAAAAAATTTTTTAATGTTTATTTATTTTTGAGACAGAGAGACAGAGCATGAACAGGGGAGGGTCAGAGAGAGAGGGAGACACAGAATCTGAAGCAGGCTCCAGGCTCTGAGCTGTCAGCACAGAACCCAACCCAAGCGGGGCTTGAACTCACAGACCGTGAGGTCATGACCTGAGCCGAAGTCGGACGCTTAACCGACTGAACCACCCAGGCGCCCCTCTTAACAGTTCTTGACTACCCTAGTTCTGGGGTAGGGGACAACAGGTCATGGCCTGGGAATGTGGGACTCATTAAAGAGGAGCAGAGTCAGTGTTGAAAGGCTTTCAGAGGACTATGTAGAGAATTACCATGGGCCCCAGAGAGCCTGGATCACTTGCAAAGCATTGAATTTCACTGGAAGAAACATGACATTTCTGCTGTTTACCTAGCAATGGTTCTCAGCCAAGAAAAGAATCACTTACCAAGTGGGCTTTTAGAAATGTGTGTAGGGAAGTTTTGGTTGTCAAAAGAATAGGGTAGGGGTGGGGAAATGACTGACATACAATGTCTGAGGACCAGGTGTGCTAAATGGTCATACAAGCGGAGACTTGTCCTTCCCCAATGGCCAATGGCATCACCACCAAGAAACTCCAGTCAGTATGGCGTGTAGGTCATCCATCAACAGCCATCTCCCAATGTGAGTTTTCCAGCAGAAGGATGCATGCTCCTGCCTTGAGACTTTGCAGGCTCATAGTTAAAAGTCCATGTGGATGCTCTTCCTTTTCAAGGCCCTGAAATTAATAAGTATTCCCTTTGTGGCAGTACTGACACCCAGAACAGGGCTGGTAAAAGGAAAGGAAAACCAGTCACTGCTACTTGAGTGGAACTAGAGGGTGGTACAACACTCCTTACTTCTCTACCCTTTATTTGAATACTTTATTTTTTATGAGGAATAGCTCATTGTCAGTAATTACTTATGTCTTTTATTTTTACTTATTTTTTTAGTGAGTGAGAGAAAAAGTGAATGTGAATAGGGGGGCAGTGGGAGAGGTATAGGGAGAGAGAGAGAACCTTCAGCAGGCTCCAAACCTAGCACGCAGCCCAACACAGGGCTTGATCTCACCACCCTGAGATCATGACCTGAGTCTAAATCAAGAGTTAGATGCTTAACTGACTGAGCCACCCAGGTGCCCCTAGTTCTATCTTTTAAATGGTTAAACACAGGGGCAGCTGGCTGGCTCAGTCAATTAAGCACCCAACTCTTGATTTGGGCTCAGGTCATAATCTCATGGTTCGTGAGATCAAGCCCCACATTGGGTTCTGCTCTGACAGCACAGAACTTGCTTGGGATTCTCCCTCACACTCTCTCTCTCTCTGCCCCTCCTCTGCTCACGTTCTTTCTCTCTCAAAATAAAGAAATAAACTTTAAAAAAATTTAAACGCTAAAAAAAACCCCATAATCTTGATATAAACTAGAAGCAGCTTCTATTACCATATAATAGCACAATAGCACACCTTCAGTTCGACACATATTAAACACTCGCTACATGTAGAGCATTGTGCTAGGTGCTGGAGAAATAAAAATGGCTTAGATATGATCTCTGCTCCCAAAGACCTCACAACCCTCCAGAGAAAAGACACACACACACACACAACTAGTTAAAACAGAACAGATTAAACTAGATGCAGAAATCTATTTTTCCATAAATATTTTATTATTGATATTCAGTATCAATCATCCACAAGAAAGCCACAGAAGACTATCGTGAAAGGTACAGACTAATGTTCCTAGGATGCCAATGTTTTTGCATTCTAGTATAACGTTCGTTTTTCAAGAATCACAGAGAAAATGATGTGGCTCTCCATAATGATACAGGAAAAGCAGCTATCCCAAATGAAAATATGAGAGTCAGAATATTTCAGCCTAAGCTGGTGGAGAGAGGAGAAGGTCAGTTGGTTGTAAAAAAGGGACCTGTTTCTACTCCACCTGTTTCCACTCTCCATTCTTTTTTTTTTTTTTCAACATTTATTTATTTTTGGGACAGAGAGAGACAGAGCATGAACGGGGGAGGGGCAGAGAGAGAGGGAGACACAGAATCGGAAACAGGCTCCAGGCTCTGAGCCATCAGCCCAGAGCCCAACGCGGGGCTCGAACTCACGGACCAAGAGGTCGTGACCTGGCTGAAGTCGGTCGCTTAACCGACTGCGCCACCCAGGCGCCCCTCCACTCGCCATTCTTAAGAAGCTGTGTGTGCAGAAGAACCAGCGCTGAGTGCAGCTGGGATATTTGGTGTAACACAATGTCCACCTCTGAACGATGGCAAGGAACATCTCCTAAAGACTCTAGCAACTCCTAGAATTCCCAGTGCCTTTGCTTTCCATTTCAACTTAACTGTGGATATTTATCACTTCCTCTCCCTTGGTGTGAAACAAACATTGTGAGGTCTTTCAGTGGCATATGCTGAATGTGGGAATGCAGCTTCTTTTCAGGAAAAAGAGCAATTTTAAGCCCAAATCTCTATTATATATAATGAACGATACTAAAAATGAGCAGAGTCCCTTTCCAGTAAAAAAATGTTTATTGATAGGGGCACCTGGGTGGCTCAGTCGGTTAAAGGTCTGACTTTGGTTCAGGTCATAGTCTCATGGTCTGTGGGGTCCGTGAGTTCGAGCCCCGAGTCGCGCTCCGTGCTCCGTACAGACAGCTCAGAGCCTGGAGCCTGGAGTAGAAACAGGTCCCTTTTTTTACAACCAACTGACATTCTCCTCTCTCCACCAACTTAGGCTGAAATATTCTGACTCTCATATTTTCATTTGGAATAGCTGCTTTTCCTGTATCATTATTCTGTGTGTCTCTCTCTCCTCCCCTCCCTCGCTCATACTCTGTATCTCTCTCCTTCAAAAATAAATAAACATTAAAAAAAATTTTTTTTTTTTTAATGTTTATTGATAAAAGGTAATCAGCACACAAGCTTGAAAGACAAGCTTAAAGGAAAGGTAATTTGAAAGATCATCATCTCTTTGGACTCTACAGTATTTTTGTAACTCTTAGAAATATGTCCAGTGCTCTACATTGATGTTTATGGTTTATAGAATGGAAAAAAGACTCCAAAAATATGCACATAAGTCACTAATGTCCCAAAGCTCGACCCATTTATATGTAAATCTGGAAATGTAGAATAAAACCATTATAAATTGACAAAAGTGGAGGGGGAAAAGGTTTAGCTATGACCATGATTGAATTTTTCTGATGAGAAGCTTGATCTGTAGTTTTAAAATAGCCAGACACCTGAAAGAACAAGAAAATGTTATCATGAAATAGAAAGTGAAGACTCTTCAAGCAACACAATGACCCAAAGGGCAACATATTTCAACAAAGACTCTTTTTGTTTTTCTTTTCTAATCAGAGATGTTAGGAAAGGAGCGCATGTAATTATGAAATATTCTCCTGGGGCGCCTGGGTGGCTCAGTCGGTTAAGCGTCTGACTTCGGCTCAGGTCATGATCTCACGGTCTGTGGGTTCGAGCCCCGCGTCGGGCTCTGTGCTGACAGCTCAGAGCCTGGAGCCTGTTTCAGATTCTGTGTCTCCCTCTCTCTGACCCTCCCCCGGTCATGCTCTGTCTCTCTCTGTCTCAAAAATAAATAAACGTTAAAAAAAATTGAAATATTCTCCTAATAGAAGCTTAACTTCTCTCACAAAGTTGAAAAATTCCCATCACATTACAATACTACCAACTTGGTGTTTTATCCGTTTCCTGCCCTTAAACATTACCTCATTCCATGCTCACATGACACTATTTATTTGATATTTTCTCTGATAGTATCTGAGTTAGAGATCAGTGTCTGCAATTTATAAATGAAGAAACTAAGGCTCACAACCAGATTGCATGCAATTCTGTCTCATACTAAAGCAGATACTGTGATATTAATAACTATTCTTTACTTTAGTGTTTAATAGCCTAGGGCCCAAGAGTGAATATTAGTCAAGGTAACCCTTCCATAATGGCTTCCTGTTCATTCTATTTCATTTTCTCATTGTAAGAGCTTTCAAGCACATATGCCACATAGTAAATTGCATCTTCCATTTAGAATAACAATCATTATTTTAAAAAATCATCACATTTAAAGGAACTAATAATCAAAATGCTTTCCCATACACAATAAAGTACAGCAATAGTATGTATGTTCCTCACAATTTCATCCCTACCCATTGGAAGAATGGGAGTGGATTTTAATCATGATTCAGTTCCCTTTATTATTTAGCCAAACAAAAAGTTAATAGACTAGAATCACATTGTGTTTTCTTGGAGTACACCATACCTGTTTGTTGTTTCTTTTTCCTCAATGGTAAATATTTATTTGATAGGAATGCTCAAGTAATAAGTATAGGGGCGCCTGGGGGGCTCAGTTGGTTAAGTGACCAACTCTTGATTTCCGCTCAGCTCATGATCTCACTGTCATGCTCCACACTGGGCGTGAGCCTGCTTGAGATCCTCTCTCTCTCACTCTCTCTCTCTCTTCTCCTTTCCTGCTTGCTTGCGCATGTGTGCTCTCTCTCTCTCTCTCTCACTCTCTCTCTCTCTCTCTCAAAAAAGAATAATAAAACACAAATTTTAAACATAAATAAATTTCTAATTTTTTTCCATGAGGAAAGTGCCATCTTTACAATATTTTACTTTTTTTTTCTTTAGGTGAGGAAGTTCAAGCTCAAATATATGTTTATTACTTTTTTCCAAGAAGACAATTTTTTTAACTTTTCTTTCTATTAAATCCAACTGCACAATTTGACATTTTTAAAGTTTATTTATTTATTTTGAGAGGGTAGGGGAGGAGCAGAGAGAGAGAGAGAGAGAGAGGGAGAGAGAGAAAAATCCAAGCAGACAGCTCAGAGCTTGAATCCAGGCTCGATCTCATGAACTGTGAGATCAAGACCTGAGCTGAAATCAAGAGTTAGATGTTTTTAACCAACTGAGACACCCAGATGCCCCACCTTATTTCTTTGTATACGATTTCCACATAACTAGCTATATGACCTGGTATTCAAAAAAGATAGGTAAAAGTGTGTGATATTCCACTATATTTACTAATCCTATTAAGAGTGATAATTCTAGGGGCACCTGGAAGATTCAGTTCATACAGCAGGTGACTTTTAACCTCGGGGTTGTGAGTTAAACCCCATGTTGGGCATACAGACTACTTTAAGTTTAAAAAAAAAAGAGTGATCATTCTATTTTAATATATCTCTTCCCAGAAAACTATGCTTATAAAATTATAAACTTTCATTTCTTTTTTTCCTTTTTTTAAATAATTTTTTTAACGTTTATTTACTTTTGAGACAGAGAGAGACAGAACATGAACAGGGGAGGGGCAGAGAGAGAGAGGGAGACACAGAATCTGAAACAGGCTCCAGGCTCTGAGCTGTCAGCACAGAGCCCGAAGCGGGGCTCGAACCCACGGACCGTGAGATCATGACCTGAGCCGAAGTCGGACGCTTAACCGACCAAGCCACCCAGGCGCCCCAACTTTCATTTCTTTTTAAAACCAGGCAGCGAAATACATGAACCAAATCCAAATATTAACGGTGATGAGTATCATCAGAACTGAGCACATATTTCTATGAGGAAATAAAATCATTTTTTCAAATAAATACTTTCAAAATCTCTTTATGACTGAGTTGTTATAATTGGACAGATCCTGGGAATAAAGGGATAACTTACCTGTGTTCAGAGGAAACATTCAGCTTTTGATGTAATTAGGAAAGGAGTTTTTCTGCTCCTCATAATCTGCAAATGCAGAAGCAAGAAGTTCTGATTGGAAAGAGAGGGGTCTGGGATTCTCATTCATGGAGAAAGTGTTCGGAAATCTCCCAAGATCAAGACCTCTTCCCTTAAGATATGCCTGAAGGGTTCTGAAAAACTGAAGAGAGAAAGAAAGTGTTCAATGCGGTATGTAAATTAAATATAAAAAATATTCAGAGACGGATATATTCCCCCTTTTTTTTCCTCCGTGAATTGACTTTAGGGCTAATCTAGGAGGCAGGAGGTAGAAAATCCAGAAATACAAGTACAAACTTTAGCTACTTCTCCTACTTCCCCTCCACTGTCCTTTACCCTGCCTTGTTTTTGTTTTTGTTTTTTTAAATTTTTTAAAATGTTTCTATTTATTTTTGAGACAGAGAGAGAGCATGAGCAGGGGAGGGGCAGAGAGAGAGGGAGACACAGAATCCGAAGCAGGCTCCAGGCCCTGAGCTGTCAGCACAGAGCCCAACGCGGGGCTCGAACTCACGGAGTGTGAGATGACCTGAGCTGAAGTCGGACGCTCAACTGACTGAGCCACCCAGGTGCCCCTACCCTGCCTTGTTTTTGACATTTCAACCCTAAACAAGATAATTCAACATTCTTGGTGGAGATTGAGAGAGGAACATCAATTATTTAATAGCATCACGGTCAGAGGGTCCTTTGTAAACCAGCTCTGAACCACTTAGGTCAGAGATTAAATGGAACTTCACAGTGGTCAAGCTCTGGGCCTCCTCTCTGAAGGTGAGATCCTGGCCATTGTCTTCTGCACCAATTCTTTCAGGCATGCGTTTTTCAAAAAGCTTTCCTTTATAAAATGGATACATAGAAGCTTGCAAAGGGCTGCTTGGTTGTTTTAACCCTATACTGTCATATTTCACATCATTTTCTTTAGGGAAACTATTTTTTGAAATAGTAATGTCAGCATGTTTATTGTATTTGGCATATTTTCAAAAGAGGATTTTTACTGATGTTTTGAATTCTATTTCCTAGATAGATTTATCTTGAAAATAATGCTTGGGGAGCAACTGGCTGACTCAGTTGGTAGAGAGTGTAACTCTTGGTCTCAGGGATGTGGTACTGAGCCCCACGTTGGGTGTAGAGATTACTTAAAAATAAATCTTAAAAAAAAATAAAGAAAAGAATGCTTGGTAAATTGAAAAGAATGCAGGTCAACTTTCAGTTTTTGTAATTGAGTTTTGCACGTGTTGGTCATATGAGAATTGATTTTATTATCAGTTCAGTCTGAGCTATGCAAAAATCAATTCCCCACGATACTCTTGATTTTGTATATGTGTGAGAAATACAGGCTATAAAGTCAATGTGTATGTACGATCATTTACAAATGTAAGGTGTCGTGTGTACATAAAATCATTTCTATATATAAATTTGCTTCTCCTTACAGGACAGATATAAATTGGGCAGAAGAACAATAGGATACCAGCTACTAGGCTAGCAAAGCCCTTGACCAGATTTCTCAGCAGGAATCGCCTTGGCACTTGGTAGCCTCCTCACCACCGTGCTCCAACAGAGTGCAGTGTGCATAAATCCAGAGAGGTGCCAATTTCACCCTGCAGCCCAGCATGCCCCAGGGTATGCTCTTACCAGCTCTCTGTTCCGGGGATTGTTGAGCGGCTTCCATTTCTCTCCGTTTCTCACTGTGGCTCCAGGCACAAGCCCAAGTAGCACCAGGACAACACACAGCAGCAGGAGTGCTTTGGGCATGGTGGAACGAAGCTGAGTGGAAGGCAGGATCAGGGAGATATCAATGGTCTGAGAGACAAGAGGGAAAGAAAAGAAGAAGGAGGAGTTGGAGGGGTAGGAGGAAGGTGAAGGAAGAGGGAGGAGGAGAGAAGGGAGGGTTAAAGTAAAAAGAGAAAGAGGAAACATTTTTAAAGAGAGACAGGGAGGAAAAAATAGTATATTGGTGCACCTGAATTTTGCAGCCCTCTTTTTTCCCCATGTTTATTTGCAAATGAAGACCCCCAAATCCAGTTTATTAGCTTAAAGGAGTCTATGATGATAACATTATACAGTGATGAGCAAAGTAATTATGAATACAACCCAGAAAGTCTGAGTATGCTTTTTCATCTTCGAAAAAAATGCACTTTGTTGTCTCCAAAGAAAGTGCAAGTCTTAAAAAAAAAAAAAAA